TATTCCTTCAGAAACTCCAAAACTTGCTCAGGCCGTGCACTCTGTGTGTGCAGCACATCCTGTAAGAAGTTTGACAGCCAGCAGTCATCGCTTTATCTGCCCTCCTGTGGGTCTAATTCTGGCACGTGCATAGAAACGAATTAGTTGATGGTCAGACACCTCCATTAGTAGACACCTTGCACTTTCTGCGGGCTTGAATGCTACTAGTATTAACGTTAATCGGCACAACAGCTGAGTGCTGCCAGCAACCAGTGCAACAGTGCAGATGAAAATGAAAACAAATGCAGTTGTCTGACATGAAGGATCAAAATGCAAACTGAATCTTCAGCTGCGGTTTGGCATAAAATGGGCTTGACCAACTCCTAAGCTGCAACATCACCGCAGAAGTCCCCAGCCCCATCTAGCTGGCTGGATGAGGAGGTACCTGAATGTGGTGCCTCTCAGAGTCCTTGGCTGTTGAGGGAAGTGGTGATCCAAGGGAGCAGCCATTCTCAAGTGGCACACAACATTTTTTCCAGTATCCCTGCTATTGGTCTGTAGGAGATCCTCTGGCCTGGAGACTGGCTGGGTCTCCTGAGTGTCTTGGTCTGGATATGCTTGTTTGAAGAAAAGGAGGAGGGGTGAAATACGGGACAGGGAAAACCAGTAAGGGATATAAGCTGTGCCATGGGGGGAGGACTGGCAGGCCAGAGACAGGTACCTCCCAGCTGCACTGCGCTCACACCTGAGGAGGAGAATCACCTCTTTAATCAGCAGGTTCCTGTGCTCAGCAAATGCCAATGAGAAATTAAACACACACGTTTAGCAGCTTACATGCTAGAGAGAAAAAGAAAGAGGTGAATTGTACGTTTGTCTTCAAGGATAGACTATCTTCGGGAAAGCAAGATTAAGTTAGGTTTTGGATATACTGATGTTAGGTTTTAGCCATACTGATGGGCTCAGGAAAGGAGGAGCGGGGAGAAGTTCTGTGACCTGTGTGACACAGGAGGTCAGACTGGATGATCTGACAGTCCCTTCTGGCCCTGGGCTCTGTTGGGCCATGAAGAAGTCACCTTATCATTTCAATAGCATCTTAGTCAGTTAACTTAGCTCATTTAACAATATTTTCTTGGTACCTCTGTGACTCAGTGATAATGCTTACTTGAGAAGGCATCCGTTATTTGCAAAGCCTGGCTTGCTTTTTCATTTCGGTAGAATGTGAAGCTGAAAACAGATGATTGATGGCTTTTTCTGTTTATTTTCTAAAAGATGTCAAGCAGCATATTTACTGACTTGACTCCTGCTGCAACTTGTTAGTTTGAGCAGTGTAAACACATCTTAACAACCCTTAGTAATTGTGGGGAGAAAGACATCATGAATTTAATGAAAGCTGACAGCACTGATTTCCATTCCTGTAATATTTTTTACGCTTACAAAAACAAGCACAGTATTTTGCTCAGACATTTTGGAGGTTCTAAAACTTCCAGATAACAGTTTATTGGTACTCATATTTCAAATGTACTATTTGGTTGGTAAAAAAAGTTAATATTTAGTTCTTTTTCTCTCCATTTCTCTCTCATGGTGCCTTGTTTACACACCTGTGTAAATGGTAGTTATCCGTAACACATATTCACTATATTTTCGAAAGAGAAAGGTCATTAGTTACAGAGAAGAAAGACTAGCTGATGTGGTAACTTACAGATGGAAAAGGAAGCTTTAGGTGAAGCCTAAGCAAAATGTAGGGAAGTGTATACCATCCAACTAAAATTGCATGTATTGATTTATTCTGTGAATAAGTAAATGACAACAAAATTAAGAGAGATTTGTCCAAGGATGCAGAGTAAGTGCAATTATCTGCCACCTTTTCTTATCAATAAATCTTACAGGAAAATAATTATTTTTAAAATATTACGGAAACCTGTATGAAGCATCAAGAGTAATTTGCATATTTTTAGCAAGTAGTAAATAGTTCTGCAATAAACTAGTAAATAGTAGTAACTAGTATGGGGAATTTCATGCAAACTTGAAACTGGAACTCATTGAGCCTAATCTGTCCCACATTTCTTGTCATTCCTGTCATGAAACATCATTCAGATACCTGCCATACTCACCTCAAAGGGAAATGTACAGTTTTCATCCTCTTTTTCCTCCTAAAGACACTAATCCTATTGAAAAAATTATTCCTTAACATTAGTCCCGTAATGACTGAAATCCTTGCAATTTCTGGATTAAACAATTTATCATGACTGATTTATTTTTATGCCAGCATCATCCCTGTTCATAAGTAGGACGTCTCCTTCCCAAGTGTTCCCACTGTGGGAGCACTGTGTTCCCACACTGCCTGTATAGGAGCCCTTCTGATCCCATTTTTCATCCTTCACTTTATTAGGCTTATTATGCCTTTCAAACAAACAAACAAATGCACAAACAAAATCAGACTCTCCTTTCAATGCCATTTCTGATTGAAATTCATCACTTCAACACAGGTGACCAGTCAGTGCCTTGCTCAACGGAATTAGTACTTCCCTGAGACCATGTTTCTCTTCGTCATGATCTCATCACAGTACTGGTTCAGGATAATCTTACAGTTAGCTAGTAAATCTGCGGTCTTTTTTCTGCTCTCCCTACTGATAATGGTGTCTGCTCAGTAGCCGTTTTTAGGCTATCTTGGGCTTATTTCAGGTGTGGAATAAGTGAACTTACGCCAATGTAAAAATGCAACATCAGATTCATTACAATTATCAGAATTACTTTCTTAGTGATTTAGAGGACCCTTTCTAGGATTTAATTTTTGATAATTTACAGCTTATTTAGTTTCATTAGGAATTAGTGCAATTATTTTTTTACTTGGTTAGTGGTAAGGTCTATGAAGAGCACACTGAATTTGTCATAAAATGAGTTGTTCATGCTGAAATCAGATGTGCCAGTCATGCTCTGTATTCATATCGCTAGTTTATTCCTAAGACTCATTAACATTAGTGATACTGGTAGTGATGTATCAGCTGTATCAATAGTATTTGCTGTGTGTTCTGGGAGGGGAGGACACTGACCGCAGGAGGAAGCAGGAGTTTCGGTCCAGGATAAGCATAAAAACCAGTGTTAAGTCTGAATCCAATAGTAGTCTTTATACTATAACCTAAATAATAGGTGCTGGACCAATCCTTTCTAATCTCACCTAACATAATACATTAATTTAGTTGTGGTTATATTCATATAATTGTTCTACAGTATCAAATTTGCAAATTCAGTACAGTATTAATAACCATGATCTTGACATTGCGAATGTAGTTTTGTGTCCTGATGTGTGTTTTGTGCTTGGTCCATGTTCATACAATAACTCTTTCTTGAGTTAGATTGTGGTTTTGGAAATCATGTTATTTGAACATGTCTGCTCATGTAGCCTATTTTAATGAGCTTTGAAAACTTGTTGGTAGTTGCTTCAGTAACTAATTTGCCTCTTTGTTTTTTGCATTAAGATGATGTGGTTTTGTAGTCACCTGTAAGGAGATGTTTGCTGGAGGTTCTATTCCAATGTTTCATCAAAAATTACATTAACGCTATATATTTCATCAAGGTACTATGCATCAGTGTGTTGGTGCTGAAGGTCACCTGCCTTTGAGATGTCTGCAAAGTTCTTTTGACATGCCAGAAATGTTAAGTGTTAAAAATACTTAGTGCATGCAGTTTGATATTCTTACTGACACCAAGGAGATTATGTAAGTTTTTTGATTAATCTGCTAATGTTTTCTGCCATGATGAATACATTAAGTGGGAAAGAAAGGTCAGCAGAATTTTCTACATATGAATATGTGTATTACTTACATTTTCATGTGACTTACTATTCATGTGATCCATGAATATGCATGGTAAATGAGAAAATTGGATTCCTGAGACCCTCACTCACCTTGTGTTAACAGCTTCCTAAGTCCTGTGCAAACCTGGTTAATGTGCCCAAACTTTATATATGACTATATTGTACAACATCATTTCCATGCCATGGTTTACACTTAGGGACAAGAGCTTTGTTAGATAAACAAGCTCAGGTAGCTAAATCTGAAGGTATTCCTAATGATACAAATTAAGAAGTTGGACAAATTACTTTCACTGATAAACTATGATTGTAGAATATTTCAATCGGTCTCTTGCATTATCTCACGTGACTTCCTGGGATCTAGTCCTCTGAATTTTTTTTTTATTGCAAATTAGACTGAGTTTAATTGTCCTGCCAGTGTTTTAGTTACATTTGTTTTACCTTTGTTGTTTGCTTTCTTTTTGAAGTCTCCTCTGTAGAATGAGTGATCTTCATGTCACTTGTAACTGTTACATTTGTCCTTGCTTTCTCTTATGTGGCATTGTAGTAGTTTTGTGTCAATTCCGTTATAACTTCTTTATTTTATAGTGCTACTTTTCACTATGGTACTGGAAAGAATGCAGATTCACTCTTGTTGCTGAACAGCAGGTAGAAAATTAGTTATTTGAATAATTAGTTATTATTATAAATTAGTTATTTGAATGATTATTGTACTTTCATTTTTAAATACGCCTAACATGTAGTACCTTATTTCGATTAAACATTTTGACTGCTGCAAAATGCATGGATCTTGCTGCTGAGAGTAATGAGTCAGCTAGCAAGAACAGCGTCGTACTGGCGATACAATAACAAAAAGGTCTCTAGTGTCTGCTGTCTTTGTATGTCTGACCTTGAAGAGAATTAGAACTTGCTTGTTGCAGAAGTTGAGCATCTAATACATGCGCACCTGTTAGCTCTGGCATACTAAATCGGATAATGTTTATAAGGATCAGTGATTCTGTTGTGAATTAAATATTTTCTCTTTCTAGGGATCTGGACATTCAGCTGCATTTACTTGTATTAAAGGATTGTCCTTAACACGTGAAATTGCTAATACTTGAAGAAATTGTAACTTTGCACCATTCCCATTCCTTTCTGACATCGTTTTCTCTTACTGTTGAATCTTAGTTCTAATTAAAGCAATCTTGGTTTGCATTTTATATTCTAATAGAAACCATGAACCAAGCAACACCTGCTAGAAAACTGGAAGAGGTTCTTCACCTTGCAGAACTCTGTATTGAAGTATTGCAGCAAAATGAAGAACATCATTCAGAGGTGAGGCCATAACTGCATTTTCTGTAGAGAATGGTTTGTTCCCAGATTTTTTCTCCTCTGATGCGAAGTAATTCTGTCAAGAAACATTTTAGCTTTACTTTCTGACATATGTTTAAGGCAGTTCACATTTACAGAGGAATAAGAGACTTGAAGCTTATGAAAAGTGAAGTGAAATAAAACTCTACTTGAATTCGCTTGAATGAACTGCAGGTTTAGAAATGAAAATTAAAGAGCATAAAATAGAGAAAGCATCTTTGTGCTGGAGGTGGTGAAATGGTACGGAAAACATCCATAGCCTTATACAGTTGTTCCTTCCAACTTTTCACCTCTCATTCAAAATAGAAAGAAAATATAACTGAATGCTAGTTTTTATCATGTTGTATAGATCTTGATTTTAATGTAAAAATAATGATGGGTATAATAGTCACATTCACATTGCTCTTCTGTTGTTTGGCAAAGTACTGCTTTTAAACTTGCACTTTTTAAAATGGTATTATAAGGTAGAAGTAATAAAATAGAACAATTTCATGTTTCATACTCTCAAGTCTTTTGCTTCATGATACAGAAACCATAATATTTAGACTATTTGGAATTATAGCACCTTTTATATTAAGGAGTTACAAGAATAAACTTGGCCAGGTACACACAGTTTTATATATTATTAAGATTTAATTAATAAATACAGATTTCTAAGGTTCAGGAAATTGTTTTAGAAATGTTCTCAAAAAACTCTAAACATTTTTGGGGAAAATATGCAAGTGGATAAACATGATTTTGTATATATAGTTATAAATATGATCATTCAAAACATCTGGTTTTATCTCACACTATGGAATCGAGTTTTTAGCTTACATCTGTCATGTGTGAACTTGTTATAGATGTTTTATCTTACACTGAAGAAACATCTGTTTTGATGATTTGCAATGAATTCCCTGGAGGACCTGTTCTGCACCACTGTTGCCACTGTGTTACTCTGTAATGATTACTTAATAAAATGTATATATTGTTGTCTTTGTCTTTTGAGGACCCGCAATACTGTAAAAATATTAGACTTCTGTCGAAAATAATGCAGAAGAAATAGATCAAATTACTATGTATGATTAAACATCTCTTTTCAAAGATTACTTTCCGTACTACTTATTTGCAGTTAGAGATGCGGTATTTTTCAGAAAGGTAAATATATTGCATGTGCTTTCAGAAAAATCAATTCAGCAAAAGTTTTCAGTCTAGTCTAAGACAGATTGAAAAGAATAAAGATAATTTCAATATTATTTTCCCCTTCTTTCATTCATGTAATGTTCAATTTTACTGAAATTTATAGACCATAATTTGAATATTAAAATATATCTGAGACTGAAGATTAAGTATGGTGACTTCCCATCACAATGTTAAGTAAATGTTCAGTGTTTGATGGTGCAGTTGACAAAAAGGATCAATAATCTCTAAAATAGTATGTCACATTTTTTAATACTACATTTTTTTTTCTTTTTAATCATAACACTTCCAAATTTCTGGGATTCCCAAAGGGAAGAGAGGTATGTGAGTCCTGATGAACTAAGCATTACTTTTCACTGTTAGTAGCATGGAACTGTGCATTGAATGTGTAGCATAAATTGTGCTGATGATTTCTGGTGTTGTATTGCCACATTTGTGTGTCTTTCTAGAATTTAAGAACTTCAGTCTTCCTTTAATCGGGTCAGTGTTTCTGTTCTCTTAGAATGTGTGTCACCAATTGCTAATTGCCTTTAGCCTGCTTTCGTATTATCCCTAATGACTGAAGAACTATCGTAGCTGTAGTATTTGTTTTTCTGTTCTTGCTTGCTTGCTGCCAAAGCAATGATGGGTAGTTCTTGAGAGGATCAGAAGAATTTCTGTCTGAGTTCACAGTGTCATCTGCAAAGGGGAAGAAGATAGAAAGCAAATGTGCTGGTTTTCTGCTTTTGGATTTGAGGTTTTGGCAATATTTTCTGAAAAGAGATTTGTTTACTTAAAAGGGACACCTACCAACGCCTGCATACATTTTTCTTCTTTCTTTATTTCTTTGCGTTGCGTTATTTTCTGGGGTAAGGAGTCTGTTCCTTTAATAAGCTCTGATTTAAACAGAATATACTAATGAGAAACTTCTTCCAGTTTGAGGAAAAAGACTCCATTTCAAACTCTTGCCAAAATTTGTGAAGCCTCATCTGTCCTTTTCACTATGGTGCCAATCAGCATCCTTCAATCCTGACAGTGCAACACACAAAGTACTTTTCGGTAATAACAGAGGATGCTCAGCATGTCTTTAAAACCTCTTGCCAATCCATCTTTTCTCTATTTTCCCCATGTCAAAAAGAATTACAGGCTGTCTTCAGGAAGTCCAGGATGCAAAAACATATTTGTAGACCACTTTTCAGAAGTTCTCTTTAATGTGATGCCTTTCAACCTGAGTACATAATTCTACATTACCTAGGACCTGCATTTCAGAAATGCAAGTGTGGTTTTCTGTGACTTTATTTGAAGTTGTGGGAACTCAGCACTTGTATAGATCAGGCTGCATATGCCCCATGCTGGTAACTCAAAAATACTCAAAATGAGGTATTCAAAATGAGAGACCTAAGTTTGAAAGCAAAGACATTTTCTTATCTAATATATGTAGGTATTTCTCACTGTCAGATATTTTTCTGAACTTTGTGAGCAAAGCACTCTCAGCAGTGTGTGATATTCATCCTATTTCATAAGCTCACTTCACCTTCATCTTTAACTCCAGGATCATACAGCTCCCTCTGATCCAATCTCAGCTTCAATACTGACCTTTCAAAGCCTAGATTTAAGTGACAGTGGAAAGGTACAAGAGTTATATGTGAAGCAGTCTTTAATGTGGAGCTGGCTTTACTTGCTGACACACTATTTTTCACAGATTTCTTCTTTTTAGCGAAGATTACCTAAGATTCTAAATCTTTACCAAAGAAAACTGTATATTCCAACATGTTGTTAAGTTACTGAAAATTAATATAGATGTGAGTGAATTTCTGAAGATGTTTTTATACCATTTGTGGAAGGAAAACTGGGTGCCATCCTCAGGACAAGCTGACATCTTTAAGGCAAAATAGGTATTAAAAAGCACTCTGTATCTATCATAAAAACTCTTAGACTTCAAGGAACAAAATTTCACACTAAAACCATTCCTTCTGATTAACAGATGAGTGCAAAATGTATTCACAATAATTTATTTTAGAAATAAATTAACCTGATTACTTACAGCCTTGGAATTGAATGAAATAAAAAAGAGGCATATACAGTAATTTTTCAAGGCTGAGTCCTTCATTCTTTTCTTTGCGCTCTGGCAAAAAGAATTGCAGGGATTTATTCTCTTTTTTTGATTTTGTGTGTTACATTTTTGTTGTGACTATATCATCTTTCCCAGCATAATCTATTTGATTTCTTACATTTTTGATGCAAGGTTTTATAAAATATTTTCACATTTTACACTTGGCCCGTTCATCCTCCCCAAATGAAACAGGATGTGAAGTGACATATCCAAATGTATTTTGCCATAGGTACGACATATCTCTTTGCTTCATGACTGGTGTTTAGTAATTGTATTTTGTCATGTTTGCAGGCATTCGCATGGTGGCCAGAATTATTGGCTGAGCATGCAGAGAAGTTTTTGTCTCTTTATTCTGTTGATATGGATTCAGCACTCGAGGCACAGCCACAGGACTCCTGGGACAGCTTCCCACTTTTCCAGCTGCTGAATAACGCCCTCAGGAATGACAGTAAGATCTGAAGTTTTTTACTTACTCTGTGCATAAGATTTTTCAATGTGCCCACACCTTAGAAATGTGTTTCTAATTAATATAATTCTCAAAATAAAAGTCTCAGCGCCCATGTTCGTGATATATATCCTGGTGCTCCATTTCTTGGAAGTTGAGCAGTTTCTCTCCATCCTTGCACCATTTCAGTCCTTATTCTGGAGGTCCCTTAACCATTGAGTATCAAAAATTGCTCATTTTTAAATCAATGTTGTACAAGCAGCATAACATGTATTTGATATTTCCTATTTAACCTACGCTGCTTAAATAGAATTGTAGTTAATTTTTCCACTAAGCCTTCATGCAAAATACTTTCAGACTAGTTATGTCTATACAGGTATTGTAGGCTTAGTGTGAATGTGGTGATACACACATAACAAATCAGTGTTATTTTCACTTGGTGTATTCTTGTATCATTATTTGAGTTGGAGGGCCAAAATTTGAAATAGCTGCATTACCTTGCTCTTTTTCATCTTTGGAGGGAGATATTTTTATAATAGTTCAGTGCTGTCCTAGGCGTGTTTTGTGTGAAAGTGATTTTAATAATGGAATTAAGGAAATAACGAATGAAACCTAAGAAAATGGATTAGGTGTTATTTTAAAAACATTGACTTGCACCTTATTTTGCAGACAGGTAATTTATCCTAACATTTTAAGACATCATAAAGAAAAAAAATTATATTTGTGCTATGTTTTATCTGTTTACTCATATTCTATTTTTTTTAAATGAGAAAATTACCTACTGGTTTTTTAATTATTTTGGAGATCCAAATGGTCTTTTTATTCAATGATTGAAGTTATTCCAAAATTTGATTTTTTTCTTATAAATACAAGAAATAATTTTTAACTCTTCCTGGAAAATTCATTTAATTCCTGTTGGAAGTTCAGTAGCTTTTAAAAATTTTAGCTCCGTGTATAGGAACTGCTTGACTGAAAGAATGGAAAATAGTATTCAAGAGCTTTTCTCCCAGGTTACATATATTGCCACCTATGTTATTTATGGTGTATATATATACCAATATATGGTATTATTGTTATCCTTAGCTGCCAAGTGTTTATTGAAACACACAGGTCGTCTCAGTATAGTACCTGTTGGCCACAGCACCAAATCATGAAATGGAGCAACTAGCAAATGTACAATTCACTGTAACACAATGGGTGGCAAACTTCATGGAGGGAAAGGGGCAAATGGACAGGGCCACTAAACTAAAGATGAATCTTAAACAGGACTGTTGAAAGTCACTGTTACTGCACCACGTTGGATGTGGTCTAGGACAGAGCGAAAGAACGTTAACATCCAGTCCTAGAGGTCTCTTTTCACGAATTTATGTTTCCATACCCTGACATTTAGCAGCACATGAAATGCCATATTCCTGAGGATTTCTTTTTTCACATGTTACCCTAGTGAAAGAAAATGTATCTGTTAGTGTTTCCCTTTGTTTTTAAGATATTGATGAATGTTTCATCTGGATCCTTTGTTGGAAAAACTGCAACTACAGAAACGTATAAAAATTGCCATGATGGTTGTAATTTAAGCTCAATTTAGAAGGATGCTCAGAAGGGTGTAGGAATTGTTCAATCTTGGTGCAGAACTCATAAGAGTTAGACTCCTGCAAGGTGGATTCGGCATTACTTGAACTGCGTGTATGATCATCTAAAATCCAGTTTAAAAATCTGAAGCCTATATTCAGATGTCTTTCCAACCATCTTACATTTTCAGTTTAGGAAGCACATCTCTAGTTGTGATGTTATGTGCACTTAAAACAATTATTTGGTTTCTGGAAGCTGTGGAGGTATTTTACAGTAGTCTTACAAGAAGGATTTGTGGCATCAGTTTTAACTACGTTACTGTGTTGTTTGTGTTCCTTTGCACTTTGGTTCCAACCTGAGAGAAGTAATATAAACCAACAAGGGTTGTCCTCACGTGCAGAGAAGTTGCTGGTAGGATACAGGTTTTTCTTTCCTTAAAAGACTAAATGGATAGTAATGCTAAATGATTATAAAACAGCCTTAGGAAAGACATTTTATGAAAATTTTCATGTCAAAGCAGTTATTAGCAAGGTTGTAAAACCTTAACTGAAGGATAAGAAATGCCTGCTGTTTGAAATGTCACACCTGTATACCAATTTTGGTAATTCCCTAATGGTAATAGATACAGTAAATGGCAGTTTCTGGCAAGTGAAAGCCATCTGGAAAATTACGTGCTTTTTTTTTTCCCAGAACTATTAGAAAGCAACCATGGAAATTAGTCGCCTTTTAATCGGTGGGTACGTTAGCAAGTGGCAAGTGACCATTCTACCAAGAACTGATTCCCAAGTGGAACATACCTCAGTGCTTGTTCTTTAATTAACAGCCTTTTCACCTTTCAAGTGCATTAAAGCCATTACAAAGAGCTCCCCATGCTTATATAATCAATTTTACAATCTTCCAAAATGAAATAAATAATTCTGGCTTTACCCTAAGTGAAAACCTTTCCCTGAAAACTATCACCTTCATAAAGATAGATTGAGAACAAAAATCTAAAAAGGGAAAAACTGGAACGTGGTCTCATGAGGATAAAAAGGCTAGTGTTAATAATTAACAAGGAGAGCGAAGTGGAGTAAATTAGCCATAATAGAGCCCACAGTGACTGCAAAGTCACCTCTCATTATCAAAAAACTCATTAGGAAATGAAGAGGTGGAAATCCCACTGGGTTATTCTCACTCTCCGGCTATATCAGAGATTACTTTTCAGATTTCTTTCAAATGAAGAACTGTTAGGTCACCATATTGCATATTAGGTTAATCTTCAGTGAAATTTGGAGGACTGACACCTGCGTGTTATTCTATCTCAAGAGCATTAAATGAGCTCTAAATCTTTGCTGCAGGAGTCAGTTTTCACGTAAACCTGACATGAGCAAACTCCTAACAATAAAGAAACAATCTAACATTTACAGCATTAAAGAAAACTTACATGTAAGACTATTTTTATAACTATGTCACTAAAATACAATATTAGACTGCGATAATGAAAATACATAGTCTTTGCTATTCAAGTAATGCTAAATGTGTTATTTTACATAGTATACAAAACACTGTACAAGATTTGAGCTGAATACTTCAAAGCCAATATTCATTTAACAATGAGAAAAAAATGCATTTCCCAATACAGGGTATAACTTTTAATGAAGTAAAAGCAAGCAGGAAAGGGGAGTCCTGTCTGAAGCTTCACATTTTTGTTATGAAGGACTCCATTTTGAGTCAGTTTAAGCTTCTCCATTTTTTTCTGTCCTTATTCCATAATAATTAAGAGTTCACCAGTGAGTTCCTCAGTGATTGCTTTCCTGTTAAGTCTAACGGAAGAATTACTTAAAAAAATGAATGGAGGAGTATGATTTTCCTGTCCTACAAAATATTTCAGCTTTTCTGACAAGAGCTAACAAATAACAAAAAGTTATTTAAAAAATTACATTTACTGTGGAGATGAGTAATAGATTGTAGATAAATTTGTGGTGATTTTTCGAAATGAAAAAGTTTGAAAAAGGTATTTTAGCCGCTTTTATAGTATACATTTTAATGATCTCCAGAGTTTCTATTGTTCATACGCAACTATGCCTGACTGTGTAAAGCTTTGCAGATTTTACAGAGAAAACCATACCCAATATGTTTTTTCCAGAATTGGATATTCGTAGAGGGAAGAAATACATGGTTGTTCCAGGCTTGTGTCTTATTTTCTGGAATAGCCATGTTATTTTTTGTCCACAGAGCCTATAAATTGTATTATGAATGGGCCTGCTCTAGAGGGCAATTTACTTTCTGTAATTGTTTAGTTACTCAGATTAATCAGGTTTTTGACAGACATGTATTGATTCCTCTTCATTTAAGATTGTGTCAGAGATATCTTTGAGTGGCATATGCCTAGTTACATGAAGAGTCTATATATTTGGCCTATTGTAGAGGTTTTTCAATGGTATGTAAAATATTCTGCTCCTTTCCTCACCAAGTTTTCTTCCCAAGTATCACTTCCTGACACTATGTACTGTGCTGTTGCTCAGCATCATTGCATTACTACGTTGGCACGAATCGGTCAAAACTAGCAGTGTTATAAAGTTAACTCATAATCTTTATTTTCCATCAAGCATTGCTCAGCGGAATGTCTGTGTGCCTGCTCAAACTCAGCCATGGTACACCTGTAGACAGTGTGATGGTGCTGACTGAGAAAAACCAGCATGTTGAGTGTTAGCCTTTTGAAAGCCATTGCCATTATCAGGGCTATTGATTTCAAGCAGGAATTCTCTGACATGTTTTTTCCACTACTGCTGTTGCTAGGGGAGTAGTGGAGTGGCAAACACCAGAATCGCCTTCCTGATTTGTTTACAGCCTACGTTCGTACCAGAATTTGTGTATAACATCATAGCCCTCATCTTAAACTACAGGGTGGAGATAGAAAACAATTTGCATTTAAGGTAATCAGGGCAAACTTTACACCCACACCAATACCTCTCATCCAACCTTACACTTCTCATTAATTGTAGTGAGAATCTTTGCTTAGATCAGGGACCTAAAATTTTTGCTCAGTCCTATTAGGAGCTGCTTTGAAATCATAACCTGCCTTCAACTAAGAGCTACGTGTTTTGGTTACTGATATTGAGGGCTAACTCAAGCTGCATTATCGCTTACCAGAATATCCAATAACCTTTTTGACTGAATGCTTGTTTTAAGAACAAGAAAATTGTGGAAGAAGCTGTCCATGTCTCTCTGTCTTGTAAAGATGAAATAAATTTTCAGCTTGCTTCCACACAGTAGATCTTTAAAATTCACTTTTAAAGTGTGTCTTGTATGTAAAAATGCACAACAATTTGTACATAAGCTGAGACACTTGCAGTTTTCACCACAATTTAAGCAAATGATTAATAAATGTTCTGTGGAGGCAGAATGTGATATCAACAGGCAATGAATGGAACTACAAACTTTCTTTTTACAGGTTATTGGGTGATTTTTCAACCGCTACGAACAGAATATGGAGCCCAAAGGAAATTTCCTTCCTGAAATTTACTGGTTTTATTTTGTATTTAAAAATATGCCAGAAAATCCAAGTGGTGCCTTCCCGAGGATCCTGTGGAGAGCACGATAATTGTAGACTGTCTGCCAAAGTGATAATTTTGTTAGTGGAAAAGAGACTCGTGTTAACCTGTATCATTCTTCCTTTCCTTTGATTCTGCAGAAGCTCTTGAGGACGGCTTAACACACTGACTCCAGGATAACTCCTAAACTTTGCCTGTATAAACAAAAGCAAAGCAAGCCCCACAGCTTCTGATGTACACAAGCACAGTCGATTCTCTTCCTGCTATTAGAGGAGAAACCTCATTACAGTGCTGTGTTATTAGACTGTACTCTTCATATCTGGGCTTTTCTTGTCATATTTTAATATATTTCAGCAACCTAATGTGTAGAAGTTGAGTAACTTCCATTCTAAACTTCAGTATCTCAAGAAATTTTCATTCATTCTCTGTTCCTGCAATCCGTTTTCCATCAGTACCGTATATGCATTAGCTTGCCCTGGCATAGACTTTCATTTTGTTGTTGTTTGTGTGAACATGAGATGGCTCATATGAAGAGGATGTGGGGAGTCTATATTGACAAGACAATGGAGAATTAAGCTACATAGCTTTGAACACAAGTGGTAGTTGAGGGATTTGAAGTGTGGCATTTCCTCAAGGATCTCTTGTTTCCCATTTGCTTTGATGCACAAGGTGGTACCTTTTGGCAAGATGAATTCTAATCATAGGGTAGAGTGCCATGAGTCTGCTGATGATACTCAACTATATCACCTACCCCTGCACTCCGAGTTCTTTCCCTGCCCTGCAGTAATCCTTGACAGAGATCTCCAGATGGGTAAATCGGAGCTGCCATGTCCTCAGCCCTGGGAAAACAGAATGCTCACCGAGTTGTCGATCCGAGACGGCACTCTCGTGTGTGTGCCCACCTACAGAGGGATCTCTGTGGAGTTGCAGTCAGATTAAGAGTCTTGGTATCATTTTGTAAAGTTTCACTTCCCTGCAAAGACTGCTGTCAGGATGTTCGGAAAATGATTCGCCTTTTTAAGTTGAGCAGCTTTTATTGCCTGTGACTTCTTTAAATTTCATTCTGACTGTGGAATAACAAGAGTTGCCCTCCTGCCCATGAGGCTTTATTACTATAATTCCCAGAGTAGCGCTTGTAGCAGAGCATTTCTGTGGTGTACTCAGAAGACAGTAAACTACGAGCTCATCCCTTCAAGTAACTGTGATTGCCTGATTAATGCCAGTCCTGCACTGATTCACTAAAAAACAGCAAAATTGACTTAATTGACACAGTCGTATTCTTATTGTTGTTTTTAAGCTCAAAGTTGCCTTGAAAAATCAACCTAATATGTAGCTTGATACCAGCCACCTTTTGTTCCTCATCAGCTGTTTACTGTGAAACACACAGCGTATGGGCAAGCCTCCACACCTTTGCATTAATATCCAAATCCTTCTCAGTGGTTATCATTGCTGGTCACAGATGCTACAGTTTTAAGATATATAAATATATAAATATAAGGAAAAATAGCACTGGTTTGAGTGCCTGATACGTGAATAATTATGCCAGAAATAGCTAACAAGGAGTTCTATGCTCTCTTACAAGAGCAGTGTAAATAATGGAGCATGTTTGTAATGGACTCATAGGTGCTCTCAAGGGTGGATTCTCAAGTGTTTAATAAGAGATGAGCCTATGCCGCTGCCTTTTTCTCAGTGGAAACCCTAATAATCTCTGCCTGCTACCTAGCTGCCTGTTTTCATGAAACTTCATTTATCTGATATCTCCACCCCTGTGTGTGATACGGTTGAAAATAGCTAAAAGTTTCAAAATTCTTAGCAAGCGTGAGGCAGGTGAGCAAAAACGGAGCAAGCTGATCACATTAGTATTGTCTTTTATCCTTAGATAAAAGTGATTGATACATAATTTCCCATTACTCTACAAGGATGTTTTCAAGAAAATAGTTCTTGCTTTCAGATCATTGTGTTCAAGAAAAAAAAAAATATTACTGTCCAGACATTCAGCAACAAAGGCACTTCCTTGAAATACCAGTAGCAATAAGGAACTGAAACTTGATGACACATTTCCCCCATAGTCACTCTCTCTCCCAGGTTCAGTTTGCATTGGACATCATTCAGGAATGGAAGACAAAGATGTTTCTGGAAGTTACAGAAATTATTTGTATATATTATACATCGAGTTGTACCAGTAGTGGAACAAGAGGGTTTGTGATTTTGTGAGATGATTTTCAGGGTTTTGCCCCATGATCCAGCCTTTTCTTCTTAGGAGGAGGAGGAAGCCACCCCAAAATGCAGTTGTGGTACCCATCCAAATCAAATGAGAAACCTGGATGTAGGAATAGGTGGGAGGAGAAACCCACAAGAGAATTTAAAACAAGGGAGTATGGGTGAGAGAAAAGGAGGGCTGTCAAAATCATGAAAATTTCTCTCTGTGGCTCAGCTTGCCTGTATGATTTCTGTGTACACATGGGAATATTCTTATAGGACCTAATAATAGTGCTGGATTAGTGGATGAACACAGACACATTCAAAACATGAAACTGATATACTCCCTTGGTGAGACAAGACACTAGTGTGCTGAGTTAGGATTTGCTAAGAGAACATTTCAGGGAGTACAGGGACAAGCAGTGGTGGTGGCAAACTAATTGTCAGATTTTAAGCATCTTCAGTTTGCATTGTGTATACCATTTTTCATGCAGTAAACCCCATCTGTGAAGCAGATAATTTCTACTGCATATAGCTACTTTACTTTCCTTGAGTAATATGCTTCCTGCTTGTAGCGTGCTCACCAGTCAACTCCATTTCTTTCAAAAAGCAAGAGAACACCTCTAGGCATGTAATGTTGTCAGCTTCCCCAAGTAAGTGCTTTAGGCAACTAGTTTTCAGGACTTCCTTTAAATAGTTATAAAACTACAATTGCTGTAAAGTTGGAGATAATCACACCAGAGAATTAGCAAACTTCCAGGAGGGAAGCGTAGACTCAGCATCCTTTAAAATTTTGCAAGACTGTTGAGAGGGCAGAGGAGAGGCAAGTGTGGCTGCTGGGGCTGAGTTTCATGTGAACACAGACTGGCTGGGGCATACTTTTGGTTGTGGGGGTCTTGGTGCGGTCTGTGCACATGTCAGGATGGGAAAAGCCAGGAGTCTGGTGGTGAGCTCTTACTAATTTATTAATTTATTATTTATTAATTTTAACAAGATGCAAAAGTGTTCTGGTTCAACAAACAACTTCAGTATGTACCTAATTTTCATAACAGTGACAGTTTAAAATGTCCTGCAGCGTCCTCATGGAGCACTTCATTTATCTTTTATGAACTGTATTTCCTACACAAGCTGGATCTTGTTCTTAAAATGCTTTTGTGTACTAAAACATTTTAAGAGATAATTTTTCCTATAGCAAAATAACGTAGGGGAAAGGCCTGACATTTTTTATTTCTGTTTTGTTTGTTTTTAAAGCATTTTTGTGCAATGGAAAGTTTCACAAGCACTTGCAAGAAATTTTTGTTCCCATGGTCATCCGCTACATCGATCTCATGGAATCATCAATTGCCCAGTCCATTCACAGAGGTCTTGAACAAGAGTCATGGCAACCTGTCAAGTAAGTGCTTTCTACAAGATCTAAACAAAGCACCTGCCTGTAGCTTTCTGTCTAATCAGATGTTCTCACCCGTTGTCCTCTAAATATTCTATTTTTTATTGTATTCCTACATTGTTTATTTCTTCACAGGAGCATCACCAACAGTCTTCCTAATGTAGCTCTTCCAAAAGTTCCAAGTTTGCCTCTTAATCTTCCACAAATACCTAGCTTTACTACACCAACCTGGATGACTTCTTTGTATGACTCCACGTGTGTATTCTTCAATAACCTTCTGACTGTATGTCAGCTCTGCATGGCCTTGCTAGTGTCCTGTGCAGCTGTATTTGGATTGCATGGTGTTTATCATCTCTCAGTTGGAAATTATTGTTTCTTGGGAGTGAGCCAAGCATGGACTGTTAGTTGCGCTTTCTAGTGCATTAAAATGTAGCAGTCTTAAACCTAGTAACTTACAAAACCAACCTGGCAAAGGTTTGTCATAGTATGAATGGTGTTTAGTACCCTAAACAACCTAATGAATCTTCTGAATTAATAAGCAATAGGGAACCTTTTGGATAATTGATTTTAGGTCATGGTTTTGTAAAGTGAGGCAGCCCATCATTTTTGCATAGGTTTGATTAGCTAGTTGATTATAGATATTGGTTCTGAAAATCATTGATTGCAAATATTGTCATTAGAATAAATATCCATGTTACAGGGAAATAGTAAAAGGTTAATAAGTGCCCAGAACAGAATTACATCCATTTCTTTGTCTGTTTGGGGAAAAAAAAATAAAATAGAGCAGACATGCCCTGTTCTGTGGGAATATTCCCATAGTTACTGGCCAGATTTATGTGTGAGGACATGTGAGGACATGTGAGGACACATTCATGTACATTAGAGAAAGGCAGAACCTTATTTTAGCTAAAGTTTTATTAGGAAAGGATGAATGTGAAAGACTTCAAAAAACATACGTTCAAGACGCAAAGCTTGATAAGATGATTTCAAGCCAAGTATTGCTTTCTCAAGTTTTATGACGGAGTTAAATACTCCTAACAAGCACTCAGATCCATCACTGCAAGAGTTGATAGTTTGTGCTCTGCCAGACTTCTGGCACTTGTCTGTTGAGTATTATGATTGTTGTTCTGCTGCTAATTCCCCTAAAAGTTGACAAAATTCCTCTTAATCCTTGGCTTTGGTACCTTTTGTGTTTACTATAATAACGTTAGGTTTCTCCTGATGTGCTTATGCAAGTCATTTGAGTTTTGAATACAAATTAATTGGTCTTCTGCTACTCAAATTCCTTTCTGTTATTTCCATGCTTTCAAGGGTTACTTTTCTTTTTAAAGAATAGCTTTCAGAGTTAAGAGTTGTTACAATCTTAGATGTGGTCTTTTTATAGTCTGTATTCTAGCAGCCCCATCCAGTAAAAATAACCTGTACATCTTAAAATTTGTGTATTTTTAATATTGAATTTATAATCAATATATAATAAATATGGATTCTGATTGGAGGATTATAGTGGTAGATCTTTCCTAAGTGAAGGTTTTGGTGTAGCAATAAATTCCTAGACTGTATTGTCAAAAAATGTGCCAGTATAGTGAAATTCAGCCATTGGCTCATCCCCCTTGCCCATCTTCTGATATTAAGGTTCGTGGTGTGTATGGCAAAGTATGCATAACATCCTAAACTAATCAGTGAGGTTTTCAAAGTGTTTGGTGAACACTGAGGTTGATGTGTGCTGTAAGCACTTGCGAGCAGTAGCTGTCGCTCTGCTGCTTCTCAAGAGAAGTGGGGACGAGCGGTGTCCCCGCTGCGGTGTGGCCTTTGTAAGGTCATCATCCCCTTTCAGCCACCCTGCACAGCGTGTGAGAAGAGGTCTGCCAAGGTGCTGTCTCCGTGGTAGGCACATCTTCATGTTCTTTTTCCCCAAACGTACAGCTTTGAAGTTGTATTTTATGAAATATGTATAAATTGTCATTCAAGGTTGTAGGTAGTATTAAGTTACCTTTGCAATACTGTGGAATTCAGGTAGTATTTTAAGAATCAGCTTACCTACATCCTACTGAAGAGCCAGGTAACTTCTCAGAATGGCCATGTATTGTATTTGGATCAAAAAACAGAAGTGAAGGCACTGTAAGCCAGTTATTCCCCCTCCAAAGCTAATGAGTTTCCTCTTTCCTGCTAGTTACGGTGTCTCAGCTTCACTATTACATGAAAGAAAGGAGCATTTTATTTCCCCCACTTCTCCCATCCCATCCTTTTCAGGAAGATCAAAGCTTCCTCTTTCTAGTTAAATTCTCCAGTGAGGGGTAACCAAATACCTAGGCTCCAATACCTGTTAAGCAAAATCCAGTGTTTCCTCTCCCATTTTCCCTTTCGATGTGATGAACACCCACCTTAAATGGACTACAGCGGCATATTGTATTGTACATAGTCAGTGGAGGCACCTAAATTCAGGAGCCCAGGCCCTGTCATTCATCGCAGGTGGCTCCTTCTCCTTATTTGACTTCCCCAAGTCTTTCTCTCCCCATCCACTGTGCTCCCTCCTCCTGGCCACACAGCTGATACTTTGGCAAGAAGATGACTACGTGTGTCACTAAGTTGCACTGGACTTCTCTCTTTCTGTTTAAAAGTGGTAATTTTGGTGAATTAATCATTATCAGTTTGAATTGCACAATGGAGAATCTACAGGCAAAAGGAATGAGAAAAAGCAGTCTGTGAGACAACTCAGTTATAGTTAGATGCTTACTGAGAATGCCAAGTCCTGTGTCTATTTTTTCTGCAATAGGAAGACATTTCATATTCTCCAGAGTTTACTAATGTTCATGTTCATGCTCTTATGTTTAAGTCCATTCACACTCAGCAGAGCTATTATACCTAAGAACTTTCACTGAAGAGCAAGAGTTGAAAATATATTCACAGTTAGGCATTTCTTTGTGTGCTTTATTGATGAAAATAGATTTTCCTCTCTTTCACATAAAAGTTGCTGCAATTCTTTTGAACATTACTAGAGAAGATTGTTTATATTGTTTAATTAACTGTTGCTTTTTTCTTTTTTCCTTGATCACATATTTTGGAGCAGTAAATGTATGCTGCTTGTAACAGCACTTAGGAAGATCATTACCTCATTTTCAATTGTTTTGGCTTAACCTTTTATTATTGGGCATTGGAAAAGGAAATCTGAAAAGGGGAAAGTGTTATGAGGAGTAGTCTGTTATTATTGATTGGTCTCAGGAGAGGACAACTCAGAGGACACCTTGGCTAGACATGCAGAGCACTGCGGATTACTGTTCCATTTGGCTGAAGACAACATCCTTAAAGAGCAAAAAACTTTTAATATTCTGTAAAAGCATCTAATCAGCCAAAATGAGGGAGGTTTTTTTTCTTACTTGTTCATTAATTCAAATGTAGTACTTTAAATTGCATTTTTGTTCCATTTCATGTTTTAAATTTAATTTCTCTGCCTTTTCTGGACCTGGATTTAAGTTACATTTGTGGGTGACTTTAATTGTTCATGGTTTAATTAATATATTATGATTTTCAGTGCAGACATGACATAATTCACTGACCAAAAATATTGTAGATACAGACCTGAGGGTGTCTGTTGCTATCTGGTGCCGGTCTACAGCATCAGGTTCAGCAAAACTCAAGGCTGGGGAAACATGGAATAAGCTACATGCTTGCAGGAGAATAGTCCTGTCTTGTCTTCCAGCCAGAATAGGCAACATCAAAGGAAATGTGTCAGCTATAATCTTCCTGCTATGTCTCAGCTGCAATGAGTGACGAGAGGGACTGGCTGGAGCAGCCACAGTGCTCTGATTGTGACATGAAGGGATCTGGTCTGAATGTGTCTGAGCTCTCACGCTGGACCTCTCTGTGCGTTTGTGCATGCTGAATAAGTCAGTAGGCCACGTTTCAGCGCTGGTTTGGGGGGTTGCATCTGTAGTGCCACATAGGTTCCTGTCATAGTGCTTCCCGCCACTAAAGGGGTAAGGGGCCACGATCTGTTTTTAAGGATGGGTATTTAAAAGTATAGCCATGACTGATGGAATAGTGAAATTTATCTGATCTGCTTTCTGTGGAATAAGGAGTTTTGAATATAGCTAGTTCCTATTGAGCATTCTGGAAGATGAATGTATATTGTGGGCCAAATTTCTTTTCTTCCTAAAATACTAACATGCAGGAAGAAAGAAGACTCAAGAAACATGTTTTGGTTGCTTGATTCTCAGGTTGCCTCACTCTTGAACTAAGTAAGAGGAACCATGATGTAACTCTGTCCCTAATATCTTTGAGAGACCATACACAAGCTCTTACTTGTTCTTGCCAAAGTTCTTTTCCATCCTTGCCCCACATAGGCTGATGGAAAAAAGAGAGATGGGGTTGATTGCCGTTGACTCTGTAACTATTGAAAATCCTTTTCTGTTGGAGAAATTCTCAGTTGACTTTCTGAGCCCTGATTATATGTCTTGAGACAGCATAAAGGAAGTAGAGCTGGAACTCACAAGCTGGGAGCTCACAAAGGACATAGAGCTAGTGCCCTGTTTTGAAAATAGTACCCACAAAACACTAATGGGTAGTAACTCAGTAATAACCTTAAAAAAAAGATAATTGCAGTAATTTATAAAATCACCATCATTGCCCTTGGTAAATTTTACAAGAATGGAAGCCAGCTGCTTTTTAATCTTGCGGTTGATTGAGAATGTCCTTAGATATTTAATATTTCTCCTATATTTTTTTATCCCAAGCTACTCTATGGAATTTCATATTTAGGCAAGAAATTATATGTTCTACATCTACCCTGGAGTCATGTGTGTGCTGATCTTGCAGTCAGCGTGCTTTATTAGTGGACTGTTTGACTAATTGCTACTGCTTAGGTAGCTGGCAAGCCTGGTGGGAAGCTGCCTCTCTCAGCTGCCAGTGCGTAAGTGAATTGCTTAGGAGGCTGTAGGCAGCTCCTAAGTTTAATATTCTGCAGGGTCTTGGGGAAACATTATGTCTTGAACCCTTTTTGTTGTGTTGCAAAAAAGTCACAAGTACGATGCAAGACATAAAGCCATAATAGAATTTAGGTTAAAACGGACCTCTGGAGATACCTGGTCCACTCTCCCAGTCGAAGTGTGAACAAATACAAAGTTAAATTGCCATTAAAAAAAAATATATAAGATGGGCATAATATTTGCCTCTTTTAATCATTGGAAACTTTCTCTTACTGCCATGACCTATTAAAAAGAGCGAACAACTAGACAGTACCTTTTGCACGAACAACTAGTGCTGAAAGCTTAAGTTTTGACCAGCAAA